TTTCTGAGGAGGGGAAGTAAAGCCGGCTGTCCCATGTTGTAGATTTACTGAATGTAAAAGATCCTCACGCCTAAATGAAGCCTCTGAGCTAAATTCAAATCGTCGGTTTCATCGCCCAAGAAATGCCTCCTTTCTCCGCTAGCTGGAGAAAGGAATGTAGCGAAATTTGCGTGGTCAAACGGAAGAGGCCTCAAGACCAGAGTTTCGCCACATAAAATAAGACTTCAATCAATTCTCTCACTGCGATTGGCTGAATGTGTAATGAGCAATCATTCGTGCTGTAAAATCTAATACGTCGACATTTGTGCGTAAAACGCCCAATTATCAACGATGTCTTGCAACAGATAAAGGTCGTAATACAGGGAAATAAAAAATAATTTATTAAGTCAATTTAATTAGGTAATTAATTACTTAATTTTTTTCTCTAAATAAAAGTAAGAGAAGTCGGTTGTTTTATGCCTAGTGTAACGAACATCAATGTTTCTAAATGTGTTCTAATGTATTATTTTTCTAATGTATTCTGTAATGTATTATTTACAATATTATATTTTAATTACTATTAACTACTGTATTATTCAGTAACTACATTACTGATTCACAGTAACTTTAATATTCACACCTGTGAATTAATAAGATCAGCTCTCACAGTGCTAAGATTCTTCCATGCTGCCGTTATTACAAAGATCGAGCTCTTTTGCTGTTTGATTAGGCCGCACCGCAATATTTTTGATAAATGCCAATGGGTTTTTGATGTATTGTTTTAGAGTTTTTAGACCTTTTTAAGTACTATTTTAGATTTAGCACTGTCACAGTACCAACCTTATGCGCTTTTAAAATGAAGCTTGGATTGATTTAGCAAACGTATCAGAACTAGTATGTACTTGTAAACATGTACAATGAATACTCACAAGTATAAAGGCATCATATTTACAAATCATCCACCTATGCGATTAACACAAAACATCCTTGAATCAGTCCAATGCAGTTCCAAAGTAACTCGGAGACCCCGGATTTCGGGATTTCCAAAAACCATCGTATATATCGACAAGAGGTGTAAAACATCTCTAAACATTTATTTTCGCCTTTCACAACTTCTACTAACTTCAATTGATTGCCATTGATGTAATGAACCTCAATCGCCGTATGAAGGCACAACGACTTATGTTAGATAAGCAACAGATTTCAATAAATGAAATACGCACGCCGCCGGTCGATTCCCCGTAAGTACACTTCAGCCTCTTTTACAATAATTATACGAGGTCCACAGTGCAGTTCACCGTCTGCTATACAAACTGAAGACTTTCCATGATCTGAAGGAATCCTGCGTGTGCGAAGGTGGCGGAAGCTCCTGCGATCGATACCACATCGAGCAGTGTAAATGAAAGACGGCTGTCAATCAACCAGTACGTACGGATGAACAGTAACTGTGCGACTTAGTGATGGTCTTTAACTGTGATATTAATGTTCTTTTATTGTCTTACTCTCTGTAAAGAGATTGCACACATGTGCGTATTTCAGTGCAATAAACAGAGGCGGGAATTTGAATCTTTTATTGTGGGGCCTCAGGGTTCCCCCCTGCATGAGATGGTAAAAATTCCCCTAAACCAAATGACATATGAGTAGTTATACTGTAATTCTAACACAAACATAATATTTTTGTAAGATTTCTTAGCCCCCGTTTTACCATCCACACTCCTCTGCAGCCAGAAACGTGCTTTTTATAATTTTAATTTTTGCGACAACTTAACACTATTTTATCTGATTGAAAAAATATAAAAAATGACAAAATAATTTATACTATCTGAAAAACATTTTTTAAAATATTTTCTCAGCACCAAATTCTAACAGCATTTTTTAAACAACAAAAATAATTTTTACTGTCTTAGAACCCTGGAAAAGACTTGAAAAAATCTGAAAAGTTCTTAAAACACAAATCGTGAATTTTTCAATTTTTTTGGATTACTGAACTGCAGTTTAAAAAAATTAAAATCATTTTTTTCCATTTTGAACCACACACACTGTGAAATGGCTGCCTCAGTTCTGTTCATTTATTTGAGTGTTTATTATACTTTTGTAATGAAAATTGTTGTACTGTAAAAAAAATAAACAAACACTTTTTGGATGATGGTACATTATGATTAAAATAACAGATTGGATTTTATAATAACAAGAAAAAGAAATTACTCTAATAACATTGAATATAATATAATAAATAGTTTTACACAACGTCATTCGTACATTTTCACTTTTTCAAAAATTGTAAACGCGCAGTTTTTGGTCTCTTACACACTATGTTCACACTACAACTACTGGATCTCAGACAAGGTAGTCACTCGGTGACGTTTTTGAATCAGTACTTTTCGCAGCGTTGACATATTTCTTCTTTTGAAGATACATAAAAAATCGTTTTACATGGACAACGGCCTAAAGTTTTCCGTTTGCCGACTACGCTTCCATATATTACCAGTAATGGTGGAAAACATGATTTGTTATCGCATCGCGGACCCACGCATATACTCTCTAGACCCACGAAACGTTGTTTCGTGAGAAGCACCTATTTTTCGGCATTCGAAGTATTAAAAGCGCTAGGAAATTTGTGATGGAAATGATTTATTTAATTTATAATATGTTCCTTCCCATTCTAGGTAATATGGTACAATTCAATAAAATATGCTTTCAGACTATTACATTCAATTTAAGGTATGGCAGGTATGGTTGGTGCGAATAGGTAGAATTTTGTACAGCTCCCATTTTGTTCGCTTTATTGCTAATATACACAAAAATGCAAATAAAGTATCACTCGTAAGCTATTCTTCATTATTTTCTCTAATAAGATGATTTTCAATTAGTTCCGAAAATTCTGTCCCAAAATCTACGCGTACATTTTATTCTTCCTCGGATTTGCTTTCCCCTTCCATATTTTTGTTCCCTAATTTTTGAAAAGATTAAAACTCCACAAACTCAGAATAATTTGTTTTAACTTTAACTTCTGCAATTTCTCTATTAATCCTTTTTACAGGAGAATATACATATAAACAGTCCGATGTCTTCAGAATTTATATTCTGTCTTGTGCAATGTCATTCAGCAAGTTGCTGCAACTTCGACTAAGCTACTACTGGTAGTAATTATGATGATGATGATGATGATAATAATAATAATAGTAATAATAGTAATAATAGTAATAATAATAATAATAATAATAATAATAATAATAATAATAATAATAATAATAATAGTAAAAAGACCTTTGTGTATGTTTATGTGAATAAGGTGTTAAGTTTAATAAGAATGTTTTGTTAGGCATATTATTATCAAAATCGGTATTTGCACTTCTAAGAACGTATCTGTGAGAAGTCAAACGTAATAAGTTGAATGTACGTACTTCCATTTTGTAGCGTTACTGCATTTGCTACTACATTTGTTACACACAGTTTGGTTTCCTCCGTATTCACTTGATGTTCTTCAACTTCAATAAGTTTGACCCAACAAACCACGTATTTGGAAATTTCTTAGAATCCTCTGGCTGAATCCGAAAACAAATTATCTGTTCTCCACCAGGAGACCGAGGCGCCTCGAATGACACCTCGTATGTCTCGATTGGTGTATGGGAAGAGGTCTAATCGTGAGTGACCGATCCGCACAGCTACATTTTTACTTCTTTTGCTAATATGCACAAAAATGAACATAAAAAATCATCTGTAAGCTGCGCTTCAGAGTTATTATTAACAATAAGACAATAAGATCATTAGTCCCAAATTAGTTCCAAAAATTCTGTCGCAATATCTTCTACAACTACATTTTATTATTTCCCAGATTTGCTTAACACTTCCATACTTTTGTTCCCTAATGTTTTAAGGGATTAAAACTCCACAAAGTCAAACTGTGTTCACTTCTACTTCTTCAGTTGCTCTATTTATCATTTGTAGGCGAATATATATAAAAATTAGAAGGCGACTGTTTTGTGTGTTTATAAGGTGTTAGTTACGTTTTAATAACAATAAGTTATTACTCACATTCATTTAAAAAACAATTTTTGCACGTTTAAGAATGTAAATGCGAGAAGTCGAACGTAAGAACGTAAATAAGCTTCTGTAGCATTACTCAGTTTGGTTTTCGCCGTATTTACCTGATGTTCTTAAAGTTCAATAGGTTCCAACGAAATACTGCTCGTATGTTTTTGCACATGTAGTTTTAAAAATACATTAATAGGGATGCATTAAATTAAATCTGTCTCGCGGCAATTCACTTGTCGCATTCAACATAACCTGCATTGATCTTTTGGTAGCGTTGGTTTAATTCTCGGCATATTCACTAAGATGGCGGCGTTAAAAATGCAAAAACACGTTTTTGGAAATTTCTTAGAATCTTCGGGTGGAACAAAACTTGTCTTCAGGTCGGTTCCACTTCCCGACCAGGAGACCTAGACGCGTCGAATGACATGTCATACGTTTCGATTGGTACACGGGAAGTGGTCAAAACCGTGAGTGACGGAGCCGCACACAAGCACTCACGCACAGTTACTCGAATACTGTATAGGAATTTTTTCTCAAATCACATAAAAAGGTAAATCTTTTATAATGAAATCTCTCCTCACTCTCTAATTTTTTAAAATTTGTCCCAACATTGGGGGGGAGTTGCCCTCCCCCCTTGCCCCCCTTGCCACAATGCATCCCGTCTCTGGTAATAAATAAATATTAATTATAATTATCCAAACAGAATAAATACATTATAAACTTTACCAACATTTTCGTAAAAATCTAGAAGGTTTCTGAAATAATTCCTAAACATACGTGATTAAAAAAAACATTAACAAAATGTAATATGTAACGTAATATAGATTCTTTTCGTAAAGTATTTAATTAATACACAAGATATGTTAATTTTCGTGTATTAAAATATAAATTAATACATAAGAATGTAAGAAAATTAGAAAAATGGTACTTACAATGTGATATTACAATCGAAATTTGACCGTGAAATCTCTCATACGTTTGTGTGACGTAATCATCTTTCGAGTCAACATGGTAGACGCGCGGTGCGCGAACACGGTTGAATGACATTGATTTAAATACTTTAGTAGCGTTGTGTTTTTCGCGTAACACTTTATACCATTATTAGTTCTTTAAAAAATTGCCAGCAGTGCAAATGGATCTAGTTTGTTCTGTTAAGCTCCATTAAGTTTACCAACGATATTGTTCTTCATAGGTTATGAACTTATGATACTATATTAAACTGTCAGTGTCAGTCAAACTCCTTGTAGAATCCTTGTTATTCGATTAATTTTCTAAAATATTAATAAATTATTTATAAATCTGCAGTTAACGTTTTTAAATTATTGAGTATATTGTGAATTCAGAGAAATTTTCTTTTTTACATTTTTTAATTCATAAATCATGAGCAAAGGTTGCATTCTTCATTGGTTTCGTAAGGGATTGCGAATCCATGATAATCCTGCACTTTTGGCTGCTATTGAGAAGGTTAAAATACAATTTTTCTGATGCAAATAAAGCATGTTTCATGAAATTATTACCTTTTTCACTATTTTCTAATTATTATTATTTTATATAGATCTATACAGTGTTATATTTTATTGTTTTGATGTGTAAAGGTTGATGGAGTCAATTATGAACTCAGACCTATATTTATATTGGATCCTTGGATTGTAAAAAAAATGAAAGTAGGGCCTAACCGCTGGAGGTTTTTGCAAGAATCATTAGAAGACTTAGATAATCAGTTACGTGCAATTGGAACAAGGTAATGGAAAGAAAGGGTCGCAAGTATTTAAAACTAATTTTTCTTTATAATGTTTTGCCTTTTGCCATGTAACATTTATTATTGTATGATATATGAATGTAGAGTTTCTATGGTTCTTTAATCTATTTTTTTTAATGTTTTGACCTGAGAGTTGGGTCAATAATTTTCTGTAACAAAAAGATAAAAAATTGAAAGGTAATGAACATTAAAAACAGATTTATTTCATCTCTACAAGTAAAAATCTAATTCCGAGAGAAGCATAAGTCATGTTGAATCATTTGCTTCTTCACCATGATGTTAAGCCATTTGCTTGTTGAATCAATTGACAGCAGCTCTGCTTTAGAAATTATCATCAAGATGAATTCTTTTGATAAAGTATTCTAGAGAATGTATTGTAAATCAATTATTTCTAAGCAATTAAAAAGCAAGCTTCAGATAAGTTCCAATTTATTTCCATTTGAAATTGGGTTGATTGGGGAACAAACTTTGTCCACATGGTGAGAATTAGTTTCAAATGAATGAATTTAAATTTGTTTTACTAATGTACCTCATTGACCTTAAGATTATTAACTCACTTCTGTAGGAAATGGTTTCTTTCAAAATAACAATATTGAAGCATAACCCCAGGAATGACATTAAGAATTAAAAATGAAGTTAATAATAAGAAAAATTCCTTTTTGTGACTTAAGCTATGCTTTGAAAATCATTAATATTTTACCTTTTATGATTCTCATTAGAAAATATAAAATATTAGTTAACTAACTTAAACTTCATGTAATTATTCTTAAAGGAAAGTGGTATTTTTGGTAAGTGCTATTATATCATATACATATTTTCAGGTTGTTTGTTTTAAGAGGGAAACCCGAAGAAGTGTTTCCAAAATTATTTTCAGAGTGGAAAGTGAAACTACTCACATTTGAAGTAGATACAGAACCTTATGCAATTGAAAGAGATGCAACTATAGAAAAACTTGCCAAAGATGCTCATGTTCCTGTTGAGCAGAGGGTATCGCATACCCTCTACCACTCAGAGAGGTATGCATAACTTGGTTGTTACCTATATTAAATTGATATGAGATAATAAATGTTAGTGTTCTCATAAAATGATTTATTATCATAGTAAGTGATGACTAGAGAGTTAGAACAGTATTTGATTTTAAGTTTTTATTTACACAGAATTTTGAAAGGGTGTTTATTAGGTGTTGTTATCTTGGCATTCTTTATTATTTTGGAAAAATTTTGGGGGTATTGTTAATTTTTTATTATTTTCATAATATTTTATCTGATTTTTTCTTGCTGAATTTATTTATGAACTGCATTCAAATGCCATTAATTGTATTTTGTGGCTGTTAGAATCATCAAGGCCAACATAGGAAAACCACCACTGACATATCAGAAGTTTCTTGATGTAGCAAATTCTTTGGGACCACCTCCTCGACCTGTTGCAACTCCAGAATTTCTGGATGTGTCATGTCGACCAGAAAAGAGTGTTCTTGAAGATGATCAGTTCAACTTTCCTACACTTGTTGAGTTGGGTGTTGATGAGTCCTCTCTTGGTCCATGTCTGTATCCTGGAGGTGAAAGCAAAGCTCTGGAAAGACTAGCAAAATACATGACAAACAAGGTTAAATGTGTTGATTGTTTTGTTGTAAAATTTTTGAAGGTTTATTCTTTTGAATGTTCTTGAATTAAGTATTTATTTGAAATACTTTGTGTTCTTTTTTTCTTTAGTCATGGGTGTGCAAGTTTGAGAAACCACAGACATCACCCAACAGCTTGGAACCAAGTACAACTGTTCTTAGCCCTTATCTAAAGTTTGGATGCCTTTCTGCCAGGACATTTTATTATAAATTAAAGGAGGCATGTATATCTGGAGTTAAGTTAGTTAAATTTTCAGTTAATGTTCCTTAGAAAATAAATTTTGAAAGGAGTAGTTCATAACTCTTGATCTTTCTAATTGCAAACTAATTGTATTGTAAGTATTGTGATGTTTTTATTTTAATGTAAGAATAAAATTTTATCGACAAGAAAAAATTTGGTTACCCTGTGGAGTAATGTTACTTTTAAAATAAAGTCTAGTTTTCTACTCACTGGTAGTTTAAGAGGAAATTCAGTTTAACATGAGGCTCTGACTTTGAAATGAAAACTCCACATTGTACAAAAAAGAAAAAATGCTGTTCAGTAACTAACCTTTCTTCGATAGCCCATCTGATTTTAATTATTTTTTGGAACATGAGAATATCGTGGTCCAACTTAGGATCTTTTTTGATGGTTGGTTATCGCTGTGCAGTTTCCAGTTTCATTTTGTTTAAAAAATGCAATTGTCAATCAACAACATGGGTACATTTCATGGGTACAATCAACAACATTAGATGGGTAATTACTCCCAGTTGCCTCACCTGATTTTAATGAATTTTGAGACATAGGTAGATTATGACCCAACTGAGGTTCATATAATAAGAAACAAAATAGTTATGAGCATTATACTCAGAGAAATCTAAATAGAGCACCTCCCACTTTTGAATGGTTTGTTAGATTTTTATTAAATTTGCTGATCCTAGTGAGTAGTGCTTAAGAATAAATATTGATTAGAGTGTCATAAATTTTTAGATAAATATTTTTCAAGAATTATAAAGTATCAAGTAAAAATATTGATTTACAGTTATTGACATTCAGACTTACCATAAATGTAAGATAATTTTAATTGACATTAAAACATTTCAATACATTTAACAGAATGAAAGTATATCCAATATTAATCATAGATATCCAATATATATATTATTATTTTATTGCCCTTGAAATATAAAAAAAAATAAAGTTAATACTTTTGAGTGTGATTTTGAACAAGAACTTTTAAAAGCTGAGTTCAATAGTATAACTAATGTCTTTGCTTTAAATATTTTAAATAAACAGGTAATTGGGTCATCTGCCCATACAAAACCTCCAGTATCACTGATTGGTCAGCTGATGTGGAGAGATTTTTATTATACAGTTGGGTGTATAACTCCAAATTTTGATAAAATGAAAGGAAATCCTGTCTGCTGTCAAGTGCCTTGGGACACTAATGAACAATACCTTGAAGCATGGACTCTGGTAAATTTGAGAATAAAATTGAATGGGAAAATTTCCAAACTGCTTTTGTTTGCATATTTTGAATTTAAATGCAATTCTTCAAATGTAGTATTTCTTTTCAGGCTAAAACAGGCTACCCTTTCATTGACGCAATAATGACTCAGCTACGTCAGGAGGGATGGATCCATCATTTGGCTAGACATGCTGTAGCCTGCTTTCTTACTAGAGGAGACCTCTGGATTTCATGGGAAGAAGGCCAGAAGGTCTAAATAATGTATTATATGTGCTTTAAATCTTAATTTCATGATTTTATTGGAAACTCAGAGCATGAAAGAGAATATAAATTTCAAAATAAAAAAATAAAAAATGTGAACTATTTCACAAATTGATAGGTGCTGCCATGAATATTCTTTAAAATTTTATAATTATCTAATTCAACATAATGTATTTGATGTAAAGTTTTTATTTTATTTGTGTTCGAGTGCAAACCTACCAGTGAATTTGAAGTGCTCACAAAATTAATATGGTATTCTACAATTAACAATGCTTAAAACCGTCTGTAATTAAAGACAAAAGGGATTTTACTTCACTAATTGCCGTGGTGGAGCAGGGACTTAGGGCAGGTGCATCCAAGTATTATACACCAAAGCTGTGGTGGTGACTGACAAGGATGTACACGTAAGCTTCCGCAGCTCGAATCCATAAATTCTCACTGCCCTGTGACACGTCAGGCGAAACGTCGGCCTCTCAGCCAACATCGCGGCGTCTCCCGGATAGCCGAGAATTTATTGACTGAAAAGGATGTTTATATCCATGTCTGTCTGTGATGTTTGTGATTGTTGCATGGGGATTCTGAGACTCCATGTAGCACCTTTAAAACCTTTGCCCTTAGCCTTAGTTTTATGATTATGATATAAACATATTTGCTATGCTATAGTCAGTGGCAATGGTGTTGGAAACGTCTCCCTATTCGCATTGTGAGTTGGAAGCACTAAGTCCAGCTCAAATTTTACCACATGCCAAAGATGCAAGAGAGGCCCAAGGACATCTTTGGCAGTGAAGCTTGTGGGGGATGGGGGTCCCTGGGCTTGACTTGACCCAACAAGGCAGCATTGATACGTTTTATATCATCTTTTCATCAACTTTTCCTCATTTTATTATTATCCGGGTTGGGCAGTATTTAAATATTTGTATTTGAAATACAATTTGTATTTGAAACATTGTATTTTGAGTTTTTGGACATTTTTTTTTGAATATGTATTTAGATACATAAAATAGGTGGATTTTAAAATAAAGCAATACTTTAATTACAGATTAAGGAAAAGATAACAATGATAGTTTGTTGTTTTTTTTATTTGATTCTGCTAGTGAATGTGTCTCATTGAACAATAAAAGCTCCTTTCAGCTGTTGAATTTAAATTCTATTCATTTTTATAAAATGAATAGAATATTTCTTAAATGATTAATCTAAATAACTGAACAATTATTTGATGATAAAAATACGTGTTTATTTGTTATAATACTAGTTTATGTTCATCAGCTCCATTTGAACAACTGTTTTTCTTTTTGAGTATTATATAATCGTCAACTAGCAGTTTTATGCCTGATGTATTTTAAAAATTAGTGGTTTTAAGTAGAAATTTCATTTATTTTCAGTAAAATGTTTTTATATAATTTTTTTATATTTGGATTGTTTATACATACATGTATATTTCACTAAGTTATTGTTCAGAAATTTATGACTGACAATTACCATTTATTGTATAGACAATTCCAATATATTGATGCAATGAATAAAGACATAATTCAAAATTTTTATATTGTACTATATTTTGAGTATTTGAAGTATTTTAAGTATGTATATTATTTAGCAATTCATGTATTTTGAGTATGTGTTTAAATACTTATTTACAAAGTAATTTTAAAGTATTTTGCCCAATCTGATCACCATAGACTGAAAGCGTATTGACACACTCTGTCTTCAAGAGGCCCTTCCAACACCCTATGGGCCTGCCCCACCTTTTTCCTCATTGGGCTTTTGGTACTTGTCCTCCTCATCTTCTTCTTTTCTCTCCCTTCTTTTCTTCTTTCTCTTCTTCTTCTTTTCTTCTTCTTCTTTTCTTCTTCTTCTTTTCTTCTTCTTCTTTTCTTCTTATTTTCTTCTTCTTTTCTTCTTCATTTCTTCTTCTTCTTCTTCTTCTTCTTCTTCTTCATTTCTTCTTCTTCTTCATTTCTTCTTCATTTCTTCTTCTTCTTCATTTCTTCTTCTTCATTCCTTTTTCTTCTTCATTTCTTCTTCTTCATTTCTTCTTCTTCTTCTTCTTCTTCATTTCTTCTTCTTCTTCATTTCTTCTTCTTCTTCATTTCTTCTTCTTCTTCTTCATTTCTTCTTCTTCTTAATTTCTTCTTCTTCTTCATTTCTTCTTCTTCTTTTCTTCTGCTTCTTTTCTTCATCTGATTCTTTTCTTTTGTTTTTTCTCTTTCTTGTTCTTCTTTTTTTGTTGAGACTTTTTTGCAACACATCTCTTAGCCCTTCGTGGGCATTGAATGTATTAATCTCAGGAGTAATTCTACATAAAGTTTTTGTCTCATCATGTCACAGTCTGTCAATGCATAATGGGGTTTTCCAGACAGGCATAATTGAGCAATTCGGCTAACTATGCCAGCATCTTCTGACATTCTCATTTATTGATTACGCCAATTCCTTTTAGTATGTCTTTTTTGCTGTGTTGAATTTTTTTGTCTCACAGGTCTGAGTTTCTTTTGTGGTCATTGCTCAAGTTAGACAATTTTCGGCCCCGGAGCAAAACTAAAATATAGCCTCCTCCCCAAAAAATTAAAAATGTGAAAGTTGTATCAAGAAACTATACGAGTTATTTTATTTCAACAAATAACACAAATTATGGTTAAGCTATAAAAAGTATATATTAAATAATATTTTTAAGTAAAAGTATTTAGTGATCAAATAATATTATTTCCAAGGTGAGTTGCATGCAAAAAGCATAATACGTTAAAAAAATTTGTTGAATTTAGTTAGTGTTTAGTAAAATTACTACTTAAAAACATGAAATAAAAATCTGTATTTCAATAGAACCTATATTAATGTTAGCATCATTTGATTCATTTCATAGAGTCATATAATGACTATAATGAACTATTTAAGGTAAAAAAGTAACTGAAAAATATATGAATTAGTGTACTACTGTACCGCAACATTTAAAATTATGATAGCGATTTTCTTGAGTTCTAATTTACTTTTAATTGTTTGCAATGTTATTTCCATCAGTCCCATGAGGACCTTTGATTGCGGGGTCTTTGCCCAGTCTGCCCATGCCTAGCAATGGCACTGTTTGTAGTGTAGTATTGAACATCTGCTAATGATCTAAAAAATCTCATTTCAATACCTGCAAGTTTCCTCTTATCAATTCTGTAAAGGACCCAGTTCTCACATCCATAGGTAGTACCAATTTTTGAAATAGAATTTTTGCTGATAATCTTTACCCACTTTTACACACAATATTACAAAAAATATTACAAAATATCATGATTAGTCATTAACTAATTCTTTTTAACTAATTTTTTTAAATTAATTTTTTATTTTAGATCGCTTTGCAACTGCATGGTAATAAACAATCAAAATCTCATTTACAACTTAACATTACATTACAAATCACTGACGACTATTTATAACATTCAAGAAAGCAATAAATACATTTATTAATACAATCATTGTGGATTAACTCATTGACTAGCTATTTTGCAACAATTAAAATTAATTTTTGTGTGTTGTTTGAGTGACTTCAATTTTTTTGTTGCAAAAAATGGTATTTATTTGCCAAATGCAATACAATTACACCTTTTGAATATACTTTATATTTTTGATTATTTAAATTTTACTTTTGAAAGGATTACATGAAATTGCATCTGGACATTTGAAATTTGCAATTATAAAGTCATGCATTTTTTTCATTTCCACAAGAAATAACAGACTTGTTACAAAGATTGTGTTTTGACATGTCATTTTTTAAACTTTATGAAATCAAATTAAATGTAATACATAAAAAATGTAATGAAATACGGGAAAAATTCTTTACCTTTCCAAAAAGTATGAAAAAATTGCAAATTGTTCAAAGTATACCTACAGTGATACATGTGAATTCGCACCAAAAATGCGAAGAAACTTTCAAATCCATCCATCATAGGTGGCTGATTTAGGCTTGATCTCCTATGGAAGCTCTTATAAATGTGTCCAAAAGTACAAAATTGGCAAAAATAACTAAGTTTTTAAAAAATGTATGAATATACTCCCCAAAAATGTTTCAGGTTAAAATTTGAAATACCTAATTAATTTTTTTGTTGATTTTATATCTCCTTTTAATGGTTTTTGGTTATCGGGTGCAGACACAGATCCATGGAGAGGGGGGGGGGGTGAGAAACTCACCCTTCCCCCCCAAAAAATTTCAGTAACTAATAATTTTAACTTCTCACGAAACATTGAAATAAGAAACGGTGGTTAATCAGCAAGTACTTTCTCACCGGTATTTTCACGCAAAATTACTCGAAGTATAATCAAATTTTCAAAAAATTCTTCTTGACCTTATTTTAAAATCTATCTTTGAGGAACAGATTTCACTAAGGGAAAAAATCTCTATCTCTAATATTTTAGCTGTAGGAAGACTCCAAAAAAATTTTCAATTTCCCAAAAATCATTTTGTTTTTCAACGAACATGAGACCTGCACCATCTCTTAAACGTTTTTCACACTAACGAAAAAATGTAATGAAAACTGACAGAGCCTTTTTTTTTTTAAGTTGAAAATTCTCCCAGGGCATTCATGTAAAGTACCTAGGATAATTGAATTATCGGTTTCAAATTCTAGGGACCGTACCATCAGCCAGATTGATTGGGGAACATAGACTGACACACATTTTGCCGTCATTTGATTTTTTGGTTCAAAGACTCACAAAACAGATTCTTTCTACACCAAGTGTTAGAGATTTTTTTTCTAAATGTAGCAATTGGATTTATCCACATTTTTGTTACAAGGGCCCTGTAATAAAGATTTTTACTGTAGAAATTTCGCTGTTTTTTCGCGCAGCATTTCATAACTTTCTCTCTACTTCCTAAAAATATTTGCGGATAATCATTAACAAGTACTTAAGAAGAGAGAGAAAATATCTACAAAGAATAAGAAAAAAAGAGAGAAATTAATTGAAAGAAAAAGAAGAGATTTGAGTCAAATGTGTTGAAATCCTTTCAAATTTCTTCAGTCCTGGACAGTAATGTTTGTATGTAAGCAGATATTTAATTTGTAAATCAATATCATGCGTTTTTATTTAAATTTTATCTGATCATATCTGTATCGTAGAATGAAAAATGTAATACCCTATACCTTCGTCATTTTGCAACTCAGAATCCGAATTTAATAGCAAATTATTACTATTTTTAATTTAAAACCATAAAGTATTCATTAAATATTAAATTCAATATTTTAATGTTGTTAAAAGCACTTTATTATAAATAATTTACTTTGTTTATAATTTATATTATTTTTGTTTATATATATACATATTCATGTATACATACATATACAGCATGTCTGGGGAAGAAACTTCGAAAATAACTTGTTAAGGCAATTGTAATCATACTTTGTCAAATATATGGATATTTCTAACCCACTAAAAACACTCTAAAGTTGGTTGGAAAAAATGCTTTATAGGCAAAAATTTGCATGACAGAAGCATAGAAACACTCCAGAAACATGTAAATTGCTTATTATTTACAAAAATAATATGAAAATATTTGTTCAGAAAGAAAAATTAAGCAAGAAATAAACAAGCAGTCAAATTCTGTAAATTAGGTCTTTTTTATTTCTGTGTAAATTTTTCTTTCTGAACAATTTTTTTTCTTTCTTTTGTAAATAATAAACAATTTACATGTTTCTGGAGTGTTTCTATGATTCTGTCTAGTTAATTTTTGCCTAGAAAACATTTTTTCAAACAAACTTTTGAGTGCATTTTATGGTTCAACCATTCAGAATATCCCAGTAGTTTATTAGACAAAATATGCTTAAAATTGTCTTAAGAGATTATTTGCAAAGTTTTGATGTTTCTTCCCCTGTACACACATATACACACACACACAAACAAATCCTCCCCAATATTCATCTCTGGATCGGCCCCTGTCTGGTGTTTCAGCTAATACATTGTTATTTTCATTTGGTTACTTCTAAAAATAATTAATGGAGGAAAGTTAAAACATAGAACATCATGGTATCAGAAATACATCCTAGTATTAGGCAGTTCATTATGACATCTATTCCAGAAGCTTACAGACCCTATAATTAGCATTTATGTACCATGATTTCTCTGATGATGAAAAAAGACAATTCAGTTTATTGCATCTTGTTCAGGTGTTTGAGGAGCTATTGCTTGATGCTGATTGGTCACTAAATGCAGGAAATTGGATGTGGCTCTCAGCCTCTGCATTTTTTCATCAATTCTTCAGAGTGTACAGTCCAGTTGCCTTTGGGAAGAAGACTGATAAAACTGGGGATTATATCAGGTAGACCTTCACTTTAATGTACTTTAAAATAACTTTCAGGTTTTATTCACAGGTTGATGGTTAAATAAAATAAGACCTATATGATGCTTTTTAAGTGTTGTGGCTCTTCTGTGGAAAATACTAATCCTTTTTCAACACTTTTGAAGTTCATCAGTAGCGTAATGAAACGAGTGTGGACCTGCCCGCAAAACATTTATTCAGGCCCCCTTTATACAAGTGCATAGTAAATGCAAGTGGTGTTAGAACCTTAAATAATTAAAATATCCCCTAAAAATGGGCCCTCTTTTACCTGGGCCCACCTGCATTGCGGGCCTTGCGGACCCAAACATTACGCCACTGCAGTTTGTTGTCTGGTTTTAATGTCAATGTCACTTGCTCCATGTAGGTTCTGTTACTGTTGGCAAACTTACCTTACTCTTGCATTCATGGAGGAAATTTTAAAAAGCAAGTAGATGCCTTTGTTTAATTTGTGCAAAATATTCCTACTGCCAACAAATCCATTTGCACATCAATTCTGTCAAAAGAGATTGGGAAGGGGAGGTACTGTAACACCTTTAGCGGGTTAGTGAAGATGGTTCAGATAGATATTAGTAAAGCCTTAGCAAGGATATATTAAAAATAAATAAATGAAATAGATAGAAAAAGTATTTTCTAGCCTAAGGGGCTGTCCTTAAATCTCTCAAAGGGGTGAATTTGGAATCACACCATCCACAGTGACAATTTTGCAGACTGGGCCAATGCAATGGGCGGTCCTCTGCAACACTACACTAATAAAACAAATATTTTCAAACATATAATAAAAACATATAATTTCAAACATATTTGTATTGCTAACCAAATTACAAAAGATATTTATTGTTTACTAACCACTGAATCAGTAGAAAACAAACATGCATTTTACATTTCTTCACCAAAAGTTTTTTTTTGTTACCAGGAAGTATGTGCCTCAGCTCAGAAAGTTTCCTCCTGAATACATTTATGAGCCATGGAATGCACCTCTTTCAGTACAAAGACAAGCCCAATGTATTATCGGCGTTGATTATCCTAAAAGGATTGTGATCCATGAAGATGTTTATAAGAAGAATATCAAACGTATGTCAGAAGCTTATAAAAATAATAAATCAGGTATGACGTACATCTTTGTAATTGATTAATGATGTATTAAATATATTGAAATTGTATTTATCACTGGCTTACAAACCATATCTTCTTGTCAAGGGCAAGAATCCAGCAAGCGAGAAAATGCACCAACATCTAAGAATGCCAAGAAAAGCAGGACAAAATGAAGTACGCTCTGTGTCATTTATTATTTTAAATAAGAAAAAGAGGCAGATGCCCCTTGACTGATTGTTTTTTGTTTTTTCTTATATTTTTGTTCTAAAATGGTCTGTGGGTTTATCATCCTCTGAGCAGCAGGCTAATGAGGTGTTGGTAAAATCAGTGTGAAGACATTATTTGATGGAGATTTGTTGGATCATTAATGTATTTTAAATTTCTCTCACAATATTCATGTTAACTGTGGATTCCCATCAGCAACACAAGAATTACCGTTTTCACTGTATATCGTTTCTGACCAGTTTGTATTTCTTTGGGTTAATTTCTCATTTTCAATTAATTTTTCATTCTCATTTGATTTTTGCTTTTAATTTCTCAATAAATATACTACCTGTGTCTTGGTGCAAGAAGGGCCAATATTCAATGTTTTGCAAAACTGTGGCTTTCTCTTTAGGCAGAATATTGCATCTTAAGTTATAACTTCTATATATATCATTATTTCCAGTAAGATAATAGTTTTTAAAAGTTTATATAATTATTTTTAATTTGGCCAATATAATTGCATTAAATTTGAAGTGTTAAAACCTTTTTTTATGACATTGACCCTTTTTGACCGCCAAACATGTCTTTGGTCTGATTTGGCTATGTGAAGGGGTGGACTAGAGTATTAAATTCCTCATATATTTAATGATTTATGTATTAAACCAAATTATGTCTAAAGTGTTATCCATTCTTTAATTTCCTCCAAAAAAATAAACAGTAACAAGCAGTGACATTGGAATTGACAGTGGAATTGAGTTACATTCCCTTCCTTTAAAAGAAGAAAAAACAACAAAAAGAATACAGTTATATTTTAATTAGTTCTTTTAAAGACATTTTCATTATAAATTATTACAAAAATGATACTTCTTCATTTTGTAACATTCAAAATATATAACAATAACATGTACTCAAAAATAATTTGTCGTCATTAGTCAAAATGTATAGGAAAGGAATATTACGAAGATGTTCTTGAACTGACAGGTAGATGTAGAGATTTGGAGGGAGACTGCGTATTCTTTGTGCTCTGCGCTCACCTACCTAAGCGCCCACCGCTCTACCAAGCGCAGAACCCACACCTTCTTTGTTTTTTTAATTTTTAGTTTTTTAAAATACTTTTTGTTTGTACAAAGAAATGCGATCTGAAGCCACAATGTAAGCTTTTTGTGCCCCAAAAATTCAATGATGTGCGCAAATCCAAATGACAGCTTATGTCTAGACAAAAATGGAGATTCCTTACCAGCCAGGGGTAGATCCAGAGATGATTTTTCATTGAAATATTGTTTTATATTTAATGAATACTTAATGCTTTAAAATTAAACTATTGTCCAACAGAATGGCACAGACACTCTTGTACTAACTAGTAAATTTCCTAATTTCTTTGGCAGGTGCTAGCTTTTGGATCATGTCCCATTCTCTTTCCAGTTGACATCTATCGCCCCCCAAACATAATTTATTTCACATTTGCTCCATTTTTTGGTTTCCTAATGGCAGAATGAAAAATTACTTTAAGAATATTATAGACGTTTTGATTGAAAAAATTGGAGCCGTTTTTATGGAGATTGTTTAAGTGTTACTATAAATTTTTAGCTCCTTTTCAGACTTTGAGTTTTGAGTGTTCAAAAAACTTTATTGAAAGTAATTTAAAGTGCTTCCACTCACAAGTGCAATAACCTATTCAAATTGCAAGAAATGACATATTAACGGCCTGTGAGATATTTCAAAACAATTACATTTGTTTGAATTTTTTGAATAAACAAAAGAATACAGGAAAATTAATTTTATGTCATCTTAAACCTTGCAATAAGCAGTATCCATACGAAGAGTTTGAAGAAAAAATTTAGAGCTGTTTTCAAAAAAATTAGTTTGTGTTACTTTTTAAATGCACTTAATGCTTGCAACATCGTGGGAAAACTACCAAATTTCAAAATAATGTACACGACCTTAATTGATTAAAAAATTGACTATAGAGAAAGAAATTTTTCCTTCAAGTAAAAGTTTATCTTCTATTTTGAAATTGTAGGAAGACTGAAGAAGCAAAAATCAATCTTTTAAAATTTTAGAAAATTCAAGAGTTAACATTGAAAATCGGACCCATGTCATCTTCGTAAGTGTATTATACTCTATTCTTTCAAAAAATTTGAAGCCATTTTTGAGAAAATTTTAAAAATATCCCAGGGGCTTTATGTAAAGTATCCCCAAGTTTTAAAGATTTTTTTTCTTAAAAATAGCAGCGCTTCGAGTTGAGCCCGATCGTTGGGGAATATCAATTTTGACAGAAACCTAGTATGGTTTAGGCGCTAGTGATGTTCACGGACGGACGGACGAACGGACATTTTGCCATCGATTGATTTTTCGGTATCAAGAACCCACAAAACAGGAATTCTGGCTACAGCACTGGTTAGAGATTTTTTTCTAAATTTAACAACTGGCCTTAACTATTTTTTCCTTATCAGGGCTCTTATAAGATTTTCTGAATTTCCATTCGCCGGTTTTTGTTTTTCGCGAAGCATTACGTAACTTTCTCTTCTGCATAAGTGGTAGTAAGAAAGTAATAGTCAAGCTTTTATATTAAAATCGTCAAATTGAAAGCTGCAAAACGCCGCTGTTTACCGCGCCGTCTACACGCGCATGCAAGTGATCTATGCCCATTTTTTTTCTTCGGTCCCACAATTACTCACTTGGCACCGAGAGGGGCCGTGCTCCGTCAACACTGTTTCCGGTTGCGTCGGCCATAGGCCAATGCGTGGGAGTCGCCCTAGAAGCGCTTGTCAAGCGGAGATAGAAAGAGATATGAGCTGGAAAACAATCGAAGGAATTTTCCATACCCACAACTGGGCTAAAATACAGCGAGAATGAGGATTCCCATTTGTAACTAATAGGCAAAGGACAGAATGCGCGGTTCATTTATCGATAAATTTAAGACGAGTATACTTTTTTCCTTGTGTTTTTCATTTTTATTCTTCCTGCACTTTTACCATTTTAGTTTTCTCTAGGCCTTTTAGTAGGGTACATCTCCCCCCCCTTCGATTACATCAGTAACATATCCAAGAGCTTGAGTTTCGCATTTGAATTTGTTTTGAAAGAAAATTTGACGTCATTTTCCTTTGCTTTTAGGGCATTTTAAAACATTTTAAATTTTAAACATTTTTTATTGTTGATAATTTTTGACAATGTGTTAGGTCATCCAAATCTGCCCTAAGTTATATTTTCCTAACCTAGGGAGACTATATAAATGCCAGACTGAGTGCCTGTAATTGATAAATTAAAATAGTTTGTTATTCCAAATGTTTTGATCGAATGTGTCGTATTACCAATTATGTAGAATGATGCAGTCAAAATTATGCAATTTCAGAAACAGTAAATCAACTTTTTCTCAATAAAGGCTCCAAATTTTTCAATGAAAATGTACTTATTGAACTAATTTTACTCTCCTATAATCTTCTTAAAGTCATATTTCATTTCTACAATTTGGGGACCGCAAAATGGAGAAAATGTGAAGGAAAAAAGTCTTTAGTTGCCATAGGTGATAACTAGGAAAAGTGTTGCATGAAAAAGCTAGCACGGATTAGAGATACAAGGAAAATTTGTCTTAATATTCTTTTTTACAGATAGTGCTAAAAACACTAAAATGACTTGACTGAATCACCACTTTGATATACTATATGATATTTTAATTTTCGAAAATTACACAAATGATAATTTCTTTGTACGTCTCTCACAACTAACTAGTATGAAAAATCTGTACAATTCTGAAGCACCACCAGTTTAAGTATGCCACTGTACTTTATTAACTTAAAGAAATCAATAAAAAACTTGCTGTGGTGTAATATAAAAATCAGAGAATTCTTTCCCCATTCTTTTGGGGAGGTCAGATGTGCCTGTGGTTGTTTGTGTATCGAATTTTAGTAATTTGTTTTCAAGTTTCTAAAGATTGTTAGCACTGAAGATTACATAGGGCAATAAATAATCATCACTTTCCCAAACTCTTAATGCCAGTGAATAATAAAAAGAAAAGGAACATTCCAGCATTTTTTTTTTTTTTTTTATTTCCCTCCCAACACCTCTATCGGTAAACAGGGCCGTTCACTCAAATGTTTTATAAAAGGCGGGGGACTAAGTTTTTGTTTCCTACTCCGGACCTGGTGCAGATAGCGCAGCCTGTTGCGTTTTGGGCGCGCATCTTTCAAAGTAAGGTTTGTGCCGAATTAATTTGTGGGTGCGTATAGAGAATTATTCAAAGAAGTATTATCTGCTTTTCTTATGATTCAGATTAACTTGAATTTAAATATATATTTTTAAATATTGTAATAGATGTGTTATACTTAAAAGCACAATTGTAAAGTTATTTATTTATCCTTAATTAGCTTTAAAAGCAGAAAAAAGTGAAAACAATGAAGTTTTAAATTGATCATTTCCTATTGTTTGTTTTTAGTTGTTTTTTTTCACATAGATACTAACATTTGAGTGTGTCTGATGCAATAAACCGCCCTAGACAACAAAATCTTTTAAAATGTGATAACTTATAGTTTTCATCACTTCTCATGTGTTCAATGTTATCAATAAGCTTGTAGCAAACAGCTGTTAGGGCAATGGGTCAAGAAAAAAAAAAGGCATTCTTCATCAAAAAATTTTACCATCTTTCTGTAATATTAGCCTGAATCACAAAGACCTCTTAACTGTTAAAAACAACTTATTTCAACAAATTATCAACAATATAGACCAGTTTTGAAAACGATTAATTCTCGTTATAATTGTCCTGTACCTTCCACTTAATTGGTATTTTTACCAATAATACACAAGGAAAAAAGGTTAACATTATTAAAATTAGTAAGATTAAATAAATACCGTTTTCATTAATTTTCACAATATTAATTTTATTCTTAAGTAGTATCAATAAAATTCCCCAATTTTTATAATGTTTATCTTCTCTAAGATGTTATACCTTTGTGGCATTAGCAAACATTTTACTCCAAATCTAGAATTAAGACATATGCTTTAAAGATTTATTGTATTTTTCGCTGTAACTAGCTCGATTGTGTATTGTTCCTAAATTT